AACACTTTTCTAGCGTTTTAGTTCACACCTTTGATGTTTGGTGTCACGTTGTAATTAGTACCCGCTTTTTTATTACATCATACTGTAAATATTTTATTCATCTGATTGTTTGCTATATAATTACTCACGTTCTGTTACTCATTGATTGAAGATGGCATAAGCATGCCGAAACATGTCTCTCAAAAAAGTTGTCTATTTCTTACAATATTTATCATACTTGCTACTACTAAGACCTTATGGAATCTAATCCATGTGAAATGGTTTGTTGCCCTTACTAATCTGTTCGACCACCTATTTACCAACTGAAACAAACACATCAAGAAAAGGACGTAATTTTCTGTGGGGGTGGGGGGGGGGTTATATAACGTGGCAAAATATCAATAGAAACAGAACTTTTTAAAACACAGAAGTAAATTAAGTAGTGATAGAAGCAAATTGAAACTGTGTGTGGCAGATATGTTAAAAAAAAAATGAAAAAAAAATGAAACATTCCCATCGCAACGAAACATTGTTAAAATGGATTTCTATCAGTCTCCTTTCTTCGGAAAGAAGAAAGCAGACTGATAGAGACTGGGCTCGCGCTCTAGTCATTTACGCCTTAATTTAAGGAGGATCTCTTCAAGAGCGCTTGTGAATTCCTGTTGTACTAACTGTTCAGAAAGATGTCTGATGTTGTCAAATTTCTTGTCATCTTGTAGGTGTGCAAAAGCAGCACAAAAGGAAATCACATAGTTAGCCCACTTGTTTTTTAACTCTTGCGTTTTCCTTCCTTCCAAAATGAATGCAGTTTCCTGAACAACAACAATATAAAGAGCTTGTCCTCTGACCAACTACCCCCTGGATATTCGAGGAGAGACGACTCTAAGAACCTGTAAGTTCTATAAACCGGCTTGGATCAGAAGCTCCACCAAATCTAAAGTTCTAAAATATAGCTAGCAACATATCCTCCTCCGAGATAATGACTAGGAATGTCAATTCTAAAATAATTTGAGTAATTTTTAATTGAATGTGCTGGTGATTCATGAACCATAAAATTGTTGTAAAGAAATTGCGACGACTGTACATGTTGAGTTGAGGTCGCCACACAGGGATTGAGAATGAACTACAAATTAATCATCGAAATTTTGGAATAACTACCATCGAAGAAAGGCGGGAATTATAATGCTAAAAGCATCTAAAGTCTTTTGGCAGCAGGACAAAACAGTTCAAAAATAGTTAGCGCCTTAAATTGATTATGAAGGATTCTAGGAAAAGCAATCAAACAGGTTTTTACACGATTCACTGAGCCTGAGATGTCTCTCGTTTTTGTATTCATCTTGTTTTCAGCACTAAATTACAGCTTAAAGACTTATTTTAAATCAATTTGATTCTTCCAAACTAGAGCAAATTCATATGAAACTTTCAAAAGCTCCAGAAAGATTTAGAGTCCTTTTAAGAAAGTGAGAGCGCATGAATAAATTTCTTTAGGTTTCTTTTTTTTCGGCACCTTCGTAGTTACCAAAAGGATATCTCTTCGTCGATTTCTTTTCTTAAAAAATAACTCAAAGTTTATAGTGCATCGTAATGCTATTGATTCAACATATGATATTAAGCTGGAGGTTTATGAGGCCATACTCAGCTGTATTGAGGTAAACCTCGGTTTATTCGCAGTATTTTTTGAGGATGTTTAGTTTTTGGTATAACAGGTGTTTTCACTTCCAGGGAACGTAATGCATCTGATTCTTCTTCAAATACCAAAGACCCAAATTGGAGCCATAAACTGAACAAGACAGAGAAGACGAGAAAGAAAGTGGTCGTAACATGAAAAACTGCGAAATCAGCGCTACCCTTTGTTTAGTGGCACTCAAGCACTTCTCCCTCCCCCAAACCATTTCTTACCTCGAATCTCTTGGGCTACATAAATTCACAATGATACTGCACCAAGGCAAAAATTTTTACACCGGAAAAACTCTTAGCCAAACTCGGTACCTGCCAACCGCGATCTAAACCATCCGATGCAAAGGTCCCGGAGGATGACAATAGGGCCATTGACCGAAAACGATACCATAACAACAGGCAGAGTATAAGATATCTGCTGTTGAAGCTGATTCAACCTTATAGGCCACCGGCTCGGGTAAACAGAACCTATTATAAACTGGCTGCGCAATAAAGCTTTTTCGGGTTTTCACTTCACCTACAAATTACTTAAAAGTCATATAGTGGTAGTTGGTACAAGTTCTTGGGAACATGCAGCGCTGTGCAGTTTTACGATTTTGATTCCTTTTCCATCGCTTTTCTGAGTTCAACGATACACCTTGTAAGGAAACAAGCGTAAAGCCTCAAAGTCACTTTAATCAGAAGTTCCTGTA